GTGAAAAGGAATATATAAATATATATGTATAGATGGATCTCTATGCCGTACACTAGAAATTAACACATTTGATATCACCTGTACTTCAGTAATAAATAAAGAGTAAATAATAAGTAAATGAATCCAACAGGTGGCCGAGCACAGAGCTAACGCAACCACCTGCTGATGCCTTGGGATCCTAGAACACTGGTTAGTTCCTGGGACCGACAATGTGGAGGACTTTAAGCCTTTTATTGCCTGAGTGGGTATTTGTCCCTCCATTGAACAGTCCCACCGGGGCTCAGGTGACCTGCTTTTACCACATTTTCTATGGCTTCTTAGTTCTGTCTCTGCTGGCAGGAGGACATTGTTCTCATTGCTATCAATTAGCCTGACTTCACCATCTTCCTCTTTATGGGCTGGACTAAGAAACCCACTTTTGTTAGCCTTGTGTGAAAAGCAGGATTTAGCACAGAGATCTGGAAACATTATTTACAGAATGTAATATACGGAACTGTACAGGGGCTTGGTGCTGGCTTTTTCATCTCTTTAGGAATCATTTTTGCTCAATTCTATGTTGGAAAGAACCCAGCTGCGGCTGGAACCTGGACCTCTGAACACAGAGGACGCTTCGGCATTTTTATTTCACAGCTGGGGCGGAAAAGAGCACTGGCTTCTCTGCTATCTGCTTTCTTACTTTTATAATCAAATGCTCTGGCCATTTTCCCTGAATCCCATTTTCCCAAAACTTCAACCACCTGATAGCATCAGAAATTTCTCCCCAAGTCTACACATTCACCTTCATCTGAGGCATCCAATGGACTCCACAATCTAACTTTCAATTTTGAAAAAGAAGGATGCTCCAGGATGGATGTGTTCTTGGAAATAATTCACGTGACAATCATTTTTGTATTGGAATCGATTCTCTCCTGCAGTTTATTATAACAGCATAATGTGCGCTGGGGGGGCATTTGGATGAGGTGGACTTAGCCGAAAGGTATCGAATGTGTCATTCACTTCATTTACTCAGTCATCTGTGTATCTGTTCAAGTAGTTGAGTGTGTGCCATGCTTTGTGCTGGATTTGGGAGACACAGAAAAGCATGTCACCCTTTTTGCCTTAAAGAAACTGGGTGTTTAATCAAATTACAGCATAATATGAAAAGATAAAGATAAAAAATTAAGGGATCAAGCAGCCTATGATTTAAGTACAAAAGCATTCAACTATTGGTGACATTTGTTCTTTATATTTACTATCTGACTAAATCAGTAAAATATACAGACACAAAATACATTGACTTGAATTCTTACTATAGCCTTGTGGATTATCCCTGCCTCGTGAAGAAACTGAGACTCAGCTAATATTAGATGTGTTTGCTAAGTGCTCACTGTGTGCCAAGCTCTAGTCTAAAACTCTGCCTGCCATATGCATTTCATCATCACGTCATCACCCTCAATAAGGAAAATACTATCATTTGGTTTTTTGCATTTCACCGCTGAGGAAACGGAGGCATAGATAGGTTAAGTGAGGAATTCCAGTAAAGAATAAAGTATATAAAGACCCTCTTGACTTCCATGGTCAGAACTGTTCCCATTGTAGGATGCAACCTCCCCTATACTTCATTTTATTCCTTTTGGTTCCTAAGGCAGCTGGCAACAGGTACTCTATCTACCCATCTCTCCATCCATCAAACCCCTGCTCCCCATTCCCTTACATGTGCTGGGCTCAGAGGATGCACTCAAGGTCCCTGACCTCTAGGTACCCACAGGGTAGCTGGGGATATAAAAAGGCACTGAGTAAATGAGTAAGTGAGTGAATGAATGAATGCCAAAATGTTCATTTTAGATTTACGTGAGATGTCTTCCAGCTTGGACACATGGTGTACCCCTGGTCTTTTCTGAATGCCAGAAATCGTATTTCTTGGTGCATTTCCAAACTTTAGCTATTTTTATTGCCATGTATAAAATATCCGGGACCTAATATCCACCATCCGCACATTTATTGAGTGTGTTCAATGTTCGATCATTTCCTCATAGTAACTGAATCTACAAGAAAACTCATCAAATCCAGTAAGTCACTTTACTGATGATTTATTGCTTTAAGGCAAAAAGGCTATAAACAGGGAATCTGAGCAGTGAAAACCGTTCACTTTGAATGAACACGTTCCACGCTACACGAATCATGAGAAAAATGAGGAACGCTGTAAAACATGACAGATTGCCCAAGCGCTATTCTTCCTCTGTTGGGAAATTCCAAGACATTTCTTCATATGCATTTTTAGTTGCTTACAAAAATGGCAGTAGGAATACTTAAATATTAAGTCACAGTTTGAAAATAGATACATACCTATGTATATACGAACACATGCATGTGTATACGTGCAGAGCTACACAGCTGACCATTCTCACATCCGTGATTCCCAGCTATGCAAGGTTTTCACTGCAGTTGCTTTGGATCAAAGGTCGTTATAAATCAGTGACCCAAGTCAATCTAATAATCACGGGCAGCATTATGTCCCACAATTCTATCTATACGAAGTATATACCATGTTAATGAGATTATAGGCAATCATATCATTTGAATCTACTTACTTTGATCACAGTCTGACTCATTTTCAAAGTTAAAATTGCACCTATTATCAGTAAAGCATCTCTTCTACCTTCTGATTTTGGGGAGGCAGGCTGACCAGGCTTGGGGTGAGGAGAGATGGCTCAGGTGTCAGACTAACCTTGGTTTGCAATCCTGGTCTGCAGTTCATTAACTGGTAAGACATTGAGCAAATAATGTAACCTCTATGAGCCTCAGCTATCTTATCTCTAAAATGGGGAAATAATATCTCATAGGTTTGCTCTGAGGATTAAATAAGATATGGCAGTGAAGCACCTAGCATGAGGCCTGGTAAGTGCTCATTAAATGCTAATGATAAGATTTAGCAAACATTAGTGGTTTGGTAAATTCAGGTTTCCTTTTTCTCCCACACTGAAACACGCAAGAGAAATTCACTTTAAGCACTTGCGTGGATTTCTTCACCAAAGGTTGACTAATTTTTGGCGCACCCTCCCTTATCCCCGAACTTGGAGTTACCAGGGACTAGAAAGGCGATCTTTCGGCTCTATTTGGTCCCCTTGCCAATGTGGCACTCCAACAGGGTTCATTCGAGCTCTGCCTGGAGGCCTCCCTGAGGACAAGGCAGAGTGGAATAAGCCAGGATTTGGGCTTCCATTTTGTCAGACTGATTTCTCAGCCTCTTTGCATCTCAGAGTTTCCATGAAAATACAGGGAAGGGTTGCTTAGGTCATAGAATTAGATATGATTATTATTCTTAACTTTTATTGAAGCAGGTCACACCCGTGCTGGGTAATTCTGACTGCCAGCAAGAGCTTCCTTACATTGGGCCCATGTCTCCTTCTCCGTGACTTCCAAGCACAGAGCTGAGACTTGCCCTCTGGGGCTTGCATAGGACAGATTCGTTTCTCAAACGGGGGTGTTCCAGCCACCGCATCCCACCCACTCCCAGGATCACTTCCAATTCCTCCAACCAGGCTTCTGTGTTCTTGGAAGCTATGCTCACTTACCCAAATTGGGATGCAGATTCAGTAAGGACCTAGCTCTTGGGTGTCTGCTAAATTTCAAATGGGATTAGTCCTCATCTGGTCCTTGTAATTTGTAGATGGTAGGTAATGTCACTCTAAGAAAATCCAACATGAGCCACATAGACTTACAGCGGAGATTATTCATGGGATAAATTCTCTTCGCACAAGAATTCCTGAGGTGTTTTTCTTTTCAATAAAAATGTGCATTTCTTTAATATTAAACATCTCTTTTTCTTTGGCATTTAAGATTTGGCTGATAAAAATTAGATTGTCATGTACCTTTGGAAGAAGAGATCTGAATGCAAGCAGGAACACATGTACAATTTCCTTTACTCATCAGATACATATTAAGCACCACTGTATGCCTTGCACTGGGCATTCGGGAGGTCACAGTAAGGCGAGCACATTCTCAGTCCTTGTTCCCTGTCTAGAAATCCCTCCGCACACCACCCAGAGCTCCCTAATGGGTAACTGCAGCTTCACCGTGTCTGCAGCCCTGGATAAACAAAATCATCCTTTTAAATGCGTGATGAGAGCTGGTTCTGCTCAGCAGGAGGGGACGATGTGCTGGGGGTTCATGGATTTTTGTTTAATCCCATATTTTGTTTGGTGAGTAGGGACCTAAATAATCAGACACTCTCTTGTCTTGGGAAAGGAGCTAGAAAGACAGAAATAAGAGCCAACAACGACAGCAAGAAGTCGCTCAGCCCAGCATGTTTTCCTGCTCAGACACATTTGGAAGCTCTAAAAATAGGGGGGAAATAAGGGTTACAGAGTCAGCCCGACTTGGACTAACTCCCCCACTGACCAGCTGAGTGTCTTTAGTCAAGCTCCCTTATCTTTCTGAGCTTCCATTTCACATTTGTAAGAACAGAAATAACAACAGACACTTTTCGACATGACATCGAAGTTCCCGTGAGCTAGGGTAACGGCGTATGTGAAGCGCTGAGAACAACATCTGATGTGCAGAAGGTATTAAATAAGAGAATTCCGGCCGTAAGTACCTATACGTTACTAATAAAATAAATAATAGCCTCATTTCCATTAATAACAACTTTCTCTTCCTTTTAGCTTCAAACCCTTTGGCTTTTCATCCGTGTTAAATAAAATTCTGTTTCAAAACAACTGGTAAACCTCTGTCTTCACACCAGAACTGGGTTGTTTGGGTCAGCAGACCCACAGTTTGTGAAATGGGTCACTGAGGCAGAAAGAGACCCACTTCTTGGTTTAATTCAACCTCACCTGGACCTGTCTCCATCATTGCAGGCAGGTCTGGCCTCTCCCAAGACTCCCCCAAAACAGAGAAATGTCATAGGACACCACTCTCAGGAGTCAGAGACATCATCCCAGGGGACTCCACCAACTCCCACGAGCCCCCAAGCAGGGAGAGGGGCCAGATGTGAGGAAGAGCCTGGCTAGTTGCCCAACGCCCTGTCCACGAGCGGCAGATCCAGTGCTGAGTTCAATCGCTCCTTCTGAAAACTGGCTGGCCTTGCTCTGACCCTGGAGTATTGACTGGGAGCTTTTCCCAGGAACAAGAATGAAGTTTCTCGAGTTGGCTTTCTGATTGAGATGAACCCAATTTACACCCTTCACAGTGTAAGGGTGAAGAGAAACTTAACTTCAACAATGCCCAGATTAATGAATACAATTTTCCACTAAAAAACAAAACCAAACAACCATTCACCTCGCTTGGCAAGTGTCTGGGGACCTTAGGATGCACAGATCTTTGGAATGAGAGACACTTCGGTGTGCTGCAGTCAGCACTGTCTGTTAGAGGGCTGCTTGGCAAATAATGGACCGTTCTGCTGTCCTAAACCCCATCTGTCCTTCTGAATGGACCCAAGGAGCCTAGTGGCCTGGCATCTAAAGAGGGAACAAGTGATATTGAATGTCTAGCTGATCCTGTTCCTTGGGACTTGGGCAAGATCCAGGAGGACTTCCAGAGACTTGGATGGGCCAGATCCAGCTTGGGTACTGTCCAGAACAGCTGGAGACAGGCACTTTCTTTGAAGGGTATGGAGAATGCTGCCGAGGAGAGGACCCACGGTCTGGGCCTGAGCAGCACCATAATATAATGGGTGCTTTGGGTGGCTGGAGACAGGGAAGGGGCCCACGGGTCTGGATCAGGGTAATTAGAAATGAGTGGGAGGTGGACAAAAGAAGGCTCACCGAGGGCCTCAGAAGGCTGGCTGCTTTGCAAGCACTGGGCCAGGTCTCAAGCCCGTGTTTTGTCCCTGCCTAATTGGCAATTTCTGAGAAGTCAGGGTAGGAGTCCAAGTCAGCAAAAATATCGTTGGGATTCCTACAACTCAGGTTGCAGAAGCAAGCGTTGATCCACAGGGCCTGGCGGGAGAAGCCAGGCCCATCAGGGCACTGGAAGGAGATGTCGATGGTCTTGGACTTGTAGGGGACGCAGCACCTGCTGTCTGTGCAGACCCCACAGTACTTGGGCCGGTAGGAGCGTGCGCTGACACAGCCGGCGAGCGTAAAGTTCACGGACGCTTCCGGCTGGTACACAGCCAAACACTTCTTCCCTTTCTGCAGGAAAAGGAGGCTTCAGTTGATATCAACAACCACTTTCTTCCCTCCAAGCCCTCAAGTCTTCCCTTTTCACTCTCCATGCACTCCTGACTTGCAGATTCGCAGCATCTTCCAAGTAGGAAGAACTGCCCCCAGTACAGCAAGACCCCGCTGTATTACGTGGGAAGAAACCGAGGACCACAGAAAGGGATAGCCTTGCTGAGATGGTACCTCTCAACCTCCAATTTCCCTTCCTTCCTGCATCTCCTCCTCGGCAACACCCAGTCCCTCATCAGTTTCACCAACACAGAATGCCTTTGTGGATCCTTCAGGCAACCCAGTGGCCCCAGCTAGTTAGTGGCAGAGCCAGCATGGCCTCCATGATTGGGGAAGTGCGTACCCTACCCCCTCCTCCTCTGCCTCCCACAGCCTCTCACACACACCCTTCCTGTGCAACTGATTCAGCTGGACTGGCATTATTTAAAGAGAGCTCTGTCTCTCCACTGGGCTGCAGGCCACTCAAGAGTGGGCTCTTTCTGTGTCTCTCCAGTCTAATTTGTGCTTGGTATACAGTAGGCACTTACTAAACTCACTGGACTCCTGGTTGTTGGGGTCTACAATGTACCAGCTTCATGCCAGAAATGGAGGTAGAGCAGACCCAGGCTACAGTCTAGGGCCTGAGGTTTATACAATCTAAGAGCCATCTTAGGCACATAATTATGGAAATGAACTTGGATGGAAATCATGAGCCAACAGCAGGGAATTTGGATTAGCTTTATGGTAAATCCACCTCTACCTCGAATGCCCTGTGCATTCACCCAGCTTAGGACTCTGCTCCTGTTTTCCTGCTGCCGGTAACTCAGAGATGTCTGCTGAGTACCAACTGTGCTCCAAGCACCAAGACGACAAAGGCTAGTCTGGAAGGGGGAATAATCTGAGAGGAAGAAGAGAGATGAAGAGGAGAAAGACGAGGAGGAGGCAGAAGGGCCCAGCTGACTGCCATGGAGATGACTGTCTGGGAGAAGATGTGGGAAGCAGGCTGTCTTGTCCACAGGGCAACCATCTCCTCAGCATATCCAAGAAATCCAGAGCTCCAAAAATGGAATCAGGGCTGAGTTTTTCTTTTTCTTTATTTTTCAAATGATACCAAGGCATATCACGTATCACACCAGTCTAAGGCATAAGCGAGGAGGCCCTAAGTTAAGAAAATCAGATCCATTTCTAACTCTGAGAACTGGGTCTTAGTCTACTGTGTTCTGCTACATCCCTGATCCTTTATTTTAATTATCTTTGACTCTCAAAGCTAGAAGGGATATCTGAGTTCAATTCCAAGATTCTACCAATGAGGGGACTGGCGCTCAGAGATGCAAAGAGATTGGCCACAGGCACATGCAGTCAGCAGCAAAGAGGCATTTGACTCCAGCCCTCCTGAGCCCTGTTGCCCCGTACCCCCAGTGTGGTGGTCATGCCCGAGCCCGCGGGTGTGCGCAGGCCCGGGAGCAGAGGGGCAGTCAGGGAGGGTCCCTCAGAATCATCTCAGGAGAGCACGTCTGAGGATCCCCAGGCTCTCTCCAGAGCGACCTTGATTCTAATGACATGGTGGCCACTTCCACTGAATGAAATTCACAACCCAGCCAACCTGGTGACACATGCTATCCCAAATAACTGCTCCAATGTGGGCTTGATCATTCCGACCTTACAAATGACCCCCACAAGGGCGCTCAGGAGCCAGGCTCAAAGCCAGGCTTGTCTGTTACACCCAGGACGCCTGCCCCACCCTGGGAGGTGGACCCACCTTAATGTGTGGCTGGAGGTCCACGTCACACGGCCGCAGGTTGCAAAGGCGGCTCTCCTGCTCAGGCCAGCACCGGGCGTTGACGTTGGAGATCCGAGTGGAGACCCCCAGGCCGCAGCTGGTGGAACAGGGGCTCCAGGGGCTGGTGTAGGATATGCAGTTCCTGTGCCAGGGCTCTACCTCACCCGCGGCCACTGCGGAGGGGGCCAGATTCCTGGTGAGCCTCCCGCCTCCACCGGCCCCCAGTCCCCACCATCACCGCCCTAAGGGCTGGGGCCCCTGAAGCTCGGAGAGGAGAGGGGTGGGGTGCCCCTCCCCACAGGAGGGCAAGCTGGCCTCTAACTCAGGGGGTGGGTTCCCACCACCAAGCGTGGGTTCCCAGTGAGAGGAGGACTTGTCCTGAGCTCCTGATGCTTTTCCGGAAAGAAGACCATCTGAAGAGACAGGTGGACCAGAGTTCAGTTCCTGCTCGACCACCTACAGACTGGGCGATCCTAGGCAACTCACTCTGGGCCTCGCGCTCCTCATTGGAGCAGTAACATCTGCCTGGTGGGGCTGGTATGGCCGTAAAATGGTCCCGATATTGACTGAGTACACACCAGACATCTGCAAGGTGCTGGGAATAAAAGGTTAAAAAGACACCATCCCCGTCCCTGCGGAGATTATGTTTACCTGGGAAAGGTCGCCGGGGAGAGTCTACACAGTAGCAACTTGGTACTAGCGTTTCATCTGGGTGATGTTGAGGGGTTCAGGGGACACCCAGGTTTCAGAGGCAAATGGCCTAGGTTCAATTCTGAGTGTGGTCACTTAGTAGCTGGATAGCTTCCAACAAGCTAGCTCCCACCTCCATGCCCCAGGTTGACAACCGCACCTCCCTCCCGCCTGTCCTTGGCGGTGGACAGAAAAGATCAGCGCACATACGTGACAGCACTCAAGCTGTCCCTGGCCCTCAGTAAGCCCTGGGTAAAGTGAGCTTGTGCGGTTGCTTGACTGTTGGCCAAACAAACACCAGCTCTTGGATGGTTCTGTTAATGAGTGTATCCCGGCATCCTGCTCTGCGTGGTAGGTGCTCAATTAGTAAGAAAATGGAAGTGGAGAATGGAGTGAGCTAGGCACAGAGGCAGGTAAAAAGTCAGTAAGACAAAGGTGAGATCCCACAGAAAGAGGGAACAAGACACAGGAGAAAGACCCAAAGAAGCCAGTTTCACTTTGACACACACGTGCATGGCAGCCAGAGAGGTGCAGGCAAAGATGATGAGTGTGCAGGGGATGTGGATGAATGAGTGCAGGAAGGAAGGATTGAGAGAAGAGAACCTTTGAGAGACAGGAGAAAGAAAAGAGAGGCCTCTGAGCACAGAAGAGAGGAGGGGCCGGGCTGGGATGAGCTGGGGCTGGGAGCCAGCGGGAGGGAGGGAGGCAGGCCATGGGGAGGGATTTGCTTCGGAGGATGAAGGAGCTTTGGTTTCTGGGTCACCCACTCGGCAGGGGCTCTGCTTGTGCTCGGTCAGAATGGGGTCACTGGGCCACACACAATGACACAATGGGCAGACAGCCATTGCCCCCCACCCCCACCGTGACCCTCTTGTGGCTCTGCTGAGTTTCCTGGTGGGACTGCTGTCTGGGCCTGCTGGGGACAGAGTCCCCCCCTCCACTACAGGGACAGGGGGCTGCTGCTCCATGGGGCTGCTCAGCCTTGTGGGGGCACCCCAAGCCCCACCCAGAGAGGCTGTGCATCCCTGTATGAGGGGTAAGTGGAGGGGACACCCTCCTTCCTGGTCCAGTCAGACCACAGAAGGCGGGCAGCCTGGGGGCAGGTCTCTGCCGTCCGGGCTGAACCTTGTACACCAAGGTTGAGAAACCCTGCTCTATGCAGTCTCCCTGAACAATTCCATGCACTTGTAATTTGTACAAAGTCACCAGTACCCTCAGAACCCCCAAACTCCATTGCCATTTCTTTGCCCTGTCATGTCACTTGTCTGATAGACGCTTTCCTTCCAGAAGTGTCCTCACCTGCCGCCTTCCATGTCATCAGATGCTCCTGGTCTTCCTCTTACATCCCTGGCTCTGCTTCCTGTCCCCCTCTCGGCTTCCTCTTCTGTCCACCCTCACACGTCAGCCCCCCAGACGTCCACTCCAGGCCCCTCTCTCTCACTCTACATGTTACACCTAGGCCGTCAGCAGCTCCAGGTGACTTCAGAGCTCTCTCTCTGCCCCATTTTCTGCCTCCAATGCTGTCCCCAAGGATGCTTCTGGGTGATCCTACCCATGGGCAGAGCACCCCGCCCAGCCTCAGTCTCAACCCATCTTAAACAAGGGAGATCTCCTCCCAAACATACTCCTTGGATCCTGTCCTAGGGAACCTCCAGCCCTGGGAATCATCTGCTGCCCCTCTCTTTCCTCCACCCCACGCACTGCATTGACGCCAAGACCTTTGGTCTTACTCAGGCAATGGCGCTTGCATCTACTCCTTCCTTGAAGCCTCTGCTCCCACTGCCCCTGTTCAGGTCTCCTGAGCCCATCCCTCCATCCACGCATGCATGCATTCATTCATCCGTCTGTATGACCAACATTGATTTGGCCCCTGCTGAGTGTCTGGCATTGGGTAGGCTCCATAATCTGTGGATGAAACAAACAGGCCTGCCCCAGTCTTCCCTTTCCGGAACTTTCTCTGGGCTGGCTTACCTGGTGAAGCCTCACCTGTCCATCCATCCCTCGTGAGGGGGAAGCCATGGACTCCCTCTCCTGCCCTTGCACTTGCTGCTCAAGCCTCTCCTCCGGGTACCCACACACCACCTCCACCCCTCCCCACGTAACCTCTTAAATAGGAAACTAGGCAATCGCAGGCATCTACTTGCTCCTTCACACAGCACTTCCTCATTTTCCGCAAGGAGCATCCCATGGGACAGATAGGACAGCCGGCGGCATTTTCATTTCTTCCATGGAGAAATAAGGTCCCAGGGGAAATGCGACTTTCCCAGGGTCACACCGCTCCTGCGTGGTGGACGGGGGTGGGACTCAGGGGCTCGAGGCAGCACCCGCCCGCCCCTCCCCGCGCCCCACTCCCCGCACCCACCGAAGGCACCCGTGTGGCGCGGCGCCGTCTTGCGAGGCCTCCTGGCGTCGT